TGGGAGCAAAGAATTTTCAGTAACCACCAGAGGCTCACTCCAATGACAGCAGCTGGCGCTCTGCCTTGGTCTGGCACCCCTGCTCACCTGTTCCACCATTCCACCGTGGCCGACGCCTGCCATGTTCTGCACTGTGCTGCCTGCTGCTGACACCCGCCATGTTCCATGTGCACCACCTCGTGGTCAGCACATGTCATAGCGACCAGTTGTTTGGTTGTTCCACCGTTCAGTCTATTTGCATATTAGGGTGATATATATATATATATATTCTAAAAATACAATTAAACTATGAAAGCATAGCATCAGCATAATTTTAATAAAGATAGACTGGCCCTAACCAGTTTGGCTCAGTGGCTAGAACGTTGGCCTGCGGAATGAAGGGTCCCAGGTTCGATTCCGGTCAAGGGCATGTACCTTGGTTTTAGGCACATCCCCAGTAGGGGGTGTGCAGGAGGCAGCTGATCAATGTTTCTCTCTCATTGATGTTTCTAACTCTCTATCCCTCTCCCTTCCTCTCTGTTAAAAAAATCAATTTTATATATATATATATATATATATATATATATATATATATTAGACTGAAGGGGAAAGATAATGGCAGAGGCAACATTTTTGTTTTGTTTTTTTGGTGCCGTGACTCGGATCCAAACCGAGGCAACATTTTTTAAAAACTCAAAAATGAATTAAGTAAATGAGCCTAATTGTATTTAGTTGTTTGTATAACTACCCGGAGAGGAACTATTTCAGGTGACTATTTGACTTGATTGTCAGCTTCTTGTGCTCATAGTAGACTCAAGAGAGAATTACCCTGCCACTTTGAAAAAGCTTTTCAGTTCCTCAAATGGCAAACATAGAGTTACCATAGACCCAGCAATTCCACTCCTAGGTGTGTACCAGAGAAATGAAAACATATGTCCACACAAAAGCCTATACACAAATGTTCATAGCAGCATTATTTATAATGGCCAAAAAGCTGAAAAACCCAAATGCCCCAAAACCCAAACAAAATATGTAATATTTATACAATCCAATATTATTTGTCAATCAAAGGGATGAAGTACTGACACATGCTACAACATGGACAAACCTTGAAAACATTAAAGTGATAGAAGCGAGTCACAAAAGCCACATAATGTATTACTGCATTTATATGAAATGACCAGAATAGAAAATGAAAATAGATTAGTGGTTGCCATGAGCTGGAGGATCCAGGGAATGGACGACTGCTAATGGGTATGGGTTTCTTTTTGTGGTGATAAAAATGTTCTGAAATTACATAGTGGTGATGGTTGTACAACTCTGACTATAATAAAAACCACTGAATTCTATACTTTAAAAGGGTGGATTTTATAATATGTGAAATGTATCTCAATGTTGTTATTTTTAAAAAAAGAAATAGGCTTAAGGGCAAAAGAGTGAAAAAATAAAATTTAAAATTTGTAATCAGTTGTGATGTTGATATTGTTATTTTGAATACTTATATTGGTTCTCTAAAGAACTGGGATTTTTCACTAAGTGAAAGGAGATACTGAGGTAAGATTGGTGAGGATAAATAAAAATTCTCTAGTTCCTGGGTTTGAATTGGAAGTGTCAGTTTGAGTTCATGAAAAAATTTCCTAATTCTGTTCATTAGAAAGACCTAGGGGCGCCCTCGTGGTTTGGCTCAGTGGATAGAGCGTTGGCCTGTGGACCAAAGGGTCCTGGGTTCGATTCTGGTCAAAGGCACATACCTCAGTTGCAGGCTCCTCTCTGGCCTGGGCCCTGGCACATGCAGGAGGCAACCAATCAATTTTTTCCTTTCACATTGATGTTTCTCCCTGTCTTTCCCTCTCTCTTCCACTCTCTCTCTAAAAAAAAAAAAAATTTAATGGAAAAATATCCTTGGGTGAGGATTAAAAAAAAAAAAAAGGCCTAGACTAGAGGTTTTCTCTCAATACAGGGGCGGGTCTCACATAGATAGATAAGTGTAACCTAGAAGAGGTTACACTTACTGCGTTCTGAAAACAAGAAATCAATTACCTATACTTGAATAATTTTAGGTGTATATCAAAGATGTTTTTTTCTTTTTTCTTTATTGATTAAAATATTACAAATGTGTCCTTATACCCCCATTGTCCCCCATCCCCCCACTCATGCCCTCATCCCCTGGTGTCTGTATCCATTGGTTATGCTTTATCAAAGATGTTTTAGTTACATTTTCCACATTAGGGTGCATTGAAGTAAAGGCTGACTCCAGGTGTGGATCAGGAAATATAAAATATGAATCTGGAACATTTTCTCATATAGAAAACAAGGAAAGTGATCAAAACGACAAGATTCCATTAAAAAAAACCTAAAGAACCAACTTCAAGGGATCCCACTGGCTAAAATTGGGCTAATTGGAGCATTATATTTATTAAAGCACATCAAATATGTTAAAGTTAATGAGTTCATGATACTAAACAATAACATTTATTGGTTACATTTGAAGGTTACAGTGGTGTGTAATGAATTCCCCTTACATTTGAAGGTTACAGTGGTGTAATGAATTCCCTTTTACCTATTACTCAGCTTCCAACAATTGTCAACTAATGGCTAATTTCTACCTCATCTGTACCATGGCCCAGATTATTCTGAGCAAATCCCTGACATCAGAATTTCATCGTTAAATATTTCTACTCATTAAAAAACACAGAGGCTTTTAAAAATCTAACCTCCATACCATTATTAAACCTAAAAATAATTAACAATAATTCCTTAATATTCTCAACAGTCACTGTTCAAAATTTTCCAATTGTTTTTTGTTTTTCAGTTTGTGGGAATTGAGATGCAAATAAGGTATAATAATTGTGATTGGTTGACAAATGTCTTAGATCTCTCTTGATCTGTAAGTTCCCCTTCTGCATAATTTCTTTAAAAATATTTTTATTGATTTTTTTGAGAGAGAGAGAGAGAGAGAGAGAGAGAGAGAGAGAGAGATACATCAGTGTGAGAGTGTAACATTGATTGGCTGCCTCCTGAATGCCCCCTACTGGGGTTCAAGCTGCAACCCTGACCTGAATCAAACCAGCAACCTTCCAGGTCACAGGACAACACTCAACTAACTGAGCCACACCGGCCAGGGCTGTAATACCATCTTTCAAAAAAGTGTTTGTTACTGTCTTACACATGCACCTCTTTTGTTCCAGCTGATGCTTATTGATAACTCTAGGT